GGTTGGTCTAGGTGAGCTCCGGGAGGTGGCTGTTGGGCTGTGGGTAGGCCTGCAGCAAAAGAAGGAAGAATAATTTGGTTGGAGACCATCTTCAGCACTGAATGCGTCTGCTCAGCTTATCAACAGCATTAAATAACAGCTGCCTGCAGTACCTGAAAGTCCACAGTATCTCTGCAACGTAATGACAGGTGACAAAGGCACAAATGCTGCAAATACCCAGGGAAATGTGGTGGTATTGAAGCAAGAAAGGAAAGTAGTCTTCTGAAGTTGGATTTCAGAGTTTTAACAGAAAAATATTTCAGTCATACAGGGAAAAGCTAAAACTGATCCTGTCCTGGTGCCTACTATGTCTCCAAACTGTTGTTTTTGCATACAGAATATGCTGGGTGTCCTCATTTTCAACCGAGGCAAGCAAGAAAGGCAGATGAAAGGAAGTCCAAGGATAGACAAGATGGGCAGTCTTTTCTTATAGGCACTAAAAAGTTAAATGATGAAGTGTGCATAATCTCCCACTAGCATAAAAAGGATAGTACAAGTTTACACCACATAATGGGAAGTTATGGGACTCCAAGAATGCAAATGGTCTGGAAATACTAAAACGTAAATCACTCTGTACCAGTGTTTAGGCTGATGGCTCTGTCTGCTTTAACACTAAATCTTGCATGAAATGGATGACCTTTTAATTTCAAAGATTTGTTTGGGAGGCAGAATTTTAACACATAATTCACCGTAAGTAATTCTGTTGTGTATTAGTGCCATGTTCTTTTATTAGCTAGTATTTGGGAAGACTGTTGCCTCCCTGGAGCCCATATTAAGGACATCACTAGGAAATTTCCTAGCTTGGTATGGCCCTCAAACTGCTACCCATTACTCCTCTTCCATGTGTGTGGTGATGAAACCAGAATGTGTAGTCCAAGGGCAATCAAAAAAGACTTCAGGGCCTTGGGCTGGTTGGTAAGGGAATCTGGAGAGCACAGGATATTTTTATATCTCTCCTTCCAGTTGCAGGCAGCAACACTGGAAGAAACAGGCAGGCTCAGTCTATTAATACATGGCCCTGTGGCTGGTGTCACTGATGAAGTTTTTTTTTTTTATGATGGGATGGTCTACATGGCATCAGGCTTGTTGCCATCAGATGGGATTCACCTTTCTCAAAGGGGGAAGAGCATCTTTTCTCATGAGCTAGCTAGACTTTAGAACCTAGACTTTAACCTAGACTTGAAGGGGGAGGGAGATAATATCAGGCTTGCCCAAGACAAGCTGTGGGACGACATGCCAAGGTTAGAGGGACTAGGTGCTAGAGAGAGCACTCAGCCTGTTCTACACTGGAGCATGCTTGAAGTCTTTCAAAGATGAGCCACAGGCTCCTGAAGTAATAGAATCCAACAGGGAATCACCAGTGAAATACCTCAAAGGAACTAAGGGGTGTTCCTCTAAAAAGGTGACACAGCCGACAGCCCAGCAGAAGAGCCTCTACACCAATGCATGCAGCATGGGCAACAGGAAGAGTTGGAAGCCACTGTGCTGCTAGAAAGCTATGACCTAGTTGCCATTACTGAAACTTGGTGGGATGAATCCCATGACTGGAGTGTGGCTATTGATGGCTACAGGCTGTTCAGAAAGGACATGTGAGAAAGAAGGGGTGGAGGGGTTGCCCTCTATGTCAAGAAATGGATAGAATGTGAAGAACTATCTCTGAGGAGTAGCCACGAGCAGGTTGAAAACTTATGGGTAAGAATTAAAGACCAAGGCAACGAAGGTAACCTTGTGGTTTGTGTCTACTGCAGACCACCCGATCAAGGAGAGCCTATTGATGGAAGCCTTCCTACTCCAGCTACTAAAGACATCACACTCACAGGCTCTTGTCCTGCTGGAGGACTTCAACTACCCTGACATCTGCTGGGAAAGTAGCAGGGTGAGCTGTAGGCAATCCAGGAGACTCCTGGAGAGCATCGAAGAGAACTTCTTAAGTGAGATAATAGCTCTACCAGAGGGGATGTGATACTGGACCTGTTGGTCATCAACACAAGTGAGGTAATTAGTGGTGTCAAGATTGGAGGCAGCCTGGGCTGCAGGGATCGTGCACTGGTGGACTTTGCAGTCCTGAGGGATATGGGTCAAGTAAATATCGGTCAGTAAAGTCAGAACTCTGAATTTTAGGTAAGAAAACTTCTAGCTGTTCAAGGAATTAGTCAATAGGACCCCCTGGGAAACTGCCCAAGGGAGCAGAACAGAGATGGTAGCTCTTTAAGAACACTTTCCATAGAGTGCAAGAGCTCACAATACCCAGGTGTAAAAAATCAGGAAAAAAATGCAAGAGACCAGCATGGCTGAGTCAAGACCTAAAGGTCAAGAAGGAAATGCACAGGTGGTGGCAGCAAGGATAGGTACCCTGGGAAGAGTATAGGGACACTGTCCAGTTATGTAGGGATGGGGTCAGGAAGGCCAAGGCGTGACTGGAGCTGAACTTGGAAAGGGATGCAAAGAATAATAAGGACATCTACAGTTGTGTCAGCCAGAAAAGAGAGGTCAAAGAAAGCGTACCTCCCCTGATGAGCAAGACTGGCAAACTGGTAACAACAGATGAGGAGAAGGCTGACAACAACTTTTTTGTCTCAGTCTTCACTGGCAACCTCTCTTCCCACACCTCTTGAGTGGATGGACCACAAGACAAGTCTGGAGGATCAAAGGCCCTCCCACTGGAAAAGAAGATCAGGTTTGTGACCACCTGAGGAACCTGAACATACATAAGTCTATGGGACTTGATGAGATGAATCCGAGTCCTGAGGGAACTGGCTGATGTAGTTGCCAAGCCACTCTCTATGATATTTGAAAAGTCATGGCAGTCAGGTGAAGTCCATGCTGACTGGAAAAAGGGAAACATTGCACCCATTTTTAAAAAGGGTGGAAAGGAGGACCCTGGGAACTACCGACCTGTCAGCCTTACCTCTGTGCCTGGGAAGATGACAGAACAGATCCTCCTAGAAGGAGGATCTATGTGCCTGTGCTAAGGCCCATGGAGGACATGGAGGTGAGTCAAGACAGCCAGCATGGCTTCACTAAGGGCAAGTCCTGCCTGACCAACTTAGTGGACTTCTATGATGGAGTGACTACATCAGTGGAGAAGGGAAGAGGTACAGATGTCATCTATCTGGGCTTCTGTAAGGCCTTTGACATGGTCCCCCACAACATCCTTCTCTCTAAATTGGAGAGACATGGATTTGATGGGTGGACTGTTCAGTGGATGAGGAATTGGTTGGATAGTTGCATTCAGAGGGTAGTGGTCAACAGCTCAATGTCCAGAGGGAGATCAGTGACAATGGTGCCCCTCAGGGGTCCATACTGGGACCAGTACTGTTTAATATCCTCATCAGTGACATAGACAGTGGGATCGAGTGCACACTCAGCGAGTTTGCAGGTGACAGAAAGCTGAGTGTTGCAGTTGATAAGCTGAAGGGAAGGGAGGCCGTCCAGAGCAACCTCCATAAGCTCAAGAAGTGGGCCCATGTGAAGCTCATAAGGTTCAACGAGGCTGAGTGCAAGGTCCTGCCCATAGATCAAGGCAATTCCAAGCACACAGACTGGGCAAGGAGTAGACTGAGAGCAGCCCTGAGGAGAAGGACTTGGAGGTATTGGTGGATGAAAAGCTGGACATGAGCTGACAATTTGTGCTTACAGCCCAGAAGGCCAACTGTATCCTGGGCGGCATCACAGGCAGTGTGGCTAGCAGGTCGAAGGAGGTGATGCTTCGCCTCTCCTGTGCTCTTGTGAGACCCCACCTACAGTACTGTGTCCACCTCTGGAGTCCTCAGCACAGGAAAGACATGGACATCTTGGAGCAGGTCCAGAGGAGGACACAAAGATGCTCGGGGGGGCTGGAGCACCTCCTCTATGAGGACAGACTGAGAGAGTTGGGGTTGTTCATCCTGAAGAAGAGAAGGCTCCGGGGGGACCTTATAGCGGCCTTCCAGTGCTTAAAGGGGGGACAGGAAAGATGGGGACAAACTTTTTAGCAGGGCCTGTTCTGGTAAGACTAGGGGTAATGGTTTTAAACTAAAAGAGGGTAGATTTAGACTAGATATAAGGAAGAAATTTTTTACACTGAGGGTGGTGAAACTCTGGCACATGTTGCCCATAGAGGTGGTAGATGCCCCATCCCTGGAAACATCCAAGGTCAGGCTGGCCGGCGCTCTGGACAACATGGTCTCATTGAAGATGTCCCTGCTCACTGCAGGGGGAGTTGGACTAGATGACCTTTAAAGGTCCCTTCCCACCCAAACCATTCTATGATTCTATTAGGGAAATTAAATGAGGAAGGACTAAGGAACTGGAGCATCTGACATATGAGAAGCCAGGAGAGCCTGGATTGTTAAACCTATAAAAGAGAAGCCTCACGGGGATCTTATGAACGTCTATACAGAGAGGGGTAAACAAGAGAGAGCCAGACTCTTCTGGGTGATGTAACAAGGGGCAGTAAGTACAGGTTGAAACACAGGAAATTCTACTTAAACATAGAAAAAAACCATTTTTATTATGAAGATGATGCAACAAGTTGCCAGAGAGGTTGTTGTGTCCCCATCCTTGGAGATATTCAAATCTCAGCAGGACAAGGTCCTGAGCAACCTGTTCTAGCTGACTCTGTATGAGCAAGCAGGTTGGACCAGATGCTCTCCAGAAGTCCTTTCCTACATCAAGGAGATTCTGGGGAAGGAAAGTCTGCTTATTTAATGACGGACGAAGCAGTATTGCATTTCTCCACTACTTTGATCAAAGAAACCACCCAGTCAGTTCACTTCTTCCCCTATGCCTCAGCCCTGTCATTTTCTGGTGTGTAGTCCTCCTATTCCCTTCGTGCTTTTATGTCCAATGAACTTGGGAAAGAAATGCCACTCTTCCCGGACGCAGCAAACCCCTCATGGCTCCCGCCCAGCGGCCCAGGTCGCCGCTCGGGAAACGACAACTCCCGCCAGGCGCCGCGGCGGGGCGCGCATGCGCGGCGCAGGCGCGGGGCCGCGCGGCGGGGCGGGGGAGGGGATCGCTGATGCAAGAGGCGAGCGCGGCGGTCGTGGGCAACGGCCGATCCCGTCCCTGAGAGTCCCGCGCTCCGCGCCGCGCCGCGCCCGGCCGCAGCCATGTCGGGCGACGAGGTGAGACCCGGCGCCGCCGCCCTCGGAGCAGCCGGGCTCGAGGCCTGCGCCGCAGCCGGGGCCGCCGCCATGTGGGAGCCCGGGCCTGCGGCCTGCGCCGGGCAGCGAGCGCGGCCTCCGGCCTGGGGCAGGGCGGTGCGTGGGTCCCGCGGTGCGCGGGTCCCGAGGCCCCGCTCGCCGTCCGCCCCGAGCAGGGTGGCCGCGGCCGCCTCTCGGTGCGATGGGCGGAGGCCGGGCCGGGCCGAGGCTCCTTCCCCGGAGCCTTCCCGGCCTCTGCGCGCTGCGGGGCCCCGCCCGGCCCGCGCCTTTGGTCTGGCCCCACGTATCGTGGAAAGGCCGGAAAGTCGCCGGGAGCTCCCCGTGTTGCGCCGGCGCCCGTCGCTGGCAGAGGGAGGGCCGGGGAGAAAGGCCGGTTTCCCCCGCCACCTCTTCCCATCGTGTTCCATGCCGTTTTAGCGATACGGAGCGCTTAGTTCCCTTATCACTCTCTGTGCAGCTTTAATATCTTGTCTTTTAACCCGGAGAGCTAAATAGCTACATCTTAACAAATGATAATTTAGTTTTTCCCAGATACGATGGTCTTTGCTTAGGCCAGCTTCCAGGGAGGTGGATACATACATCTGTCTCTGAGAATTTCTTCACGTGTTGTAGATGCCATGTGTTGGCACCTTTACTAACTTCATGTCAGTTGGTCTTATGGGGAAATGGAATGTTTTATGTGTATGAGGTTATAAGGGTCCTGATGGATGACTCTGTAGCCTGTGGAAAACTGCACTGGCTGAGCCCACGAGATGGTGCTTTTGGTCTTGCATCTTCTTTCTGATGGTGTTTAAAATACCCGTGTGGCTTGTTTCCTTCTGAGCAAAGTGATCATTCAAGCCTTGGAGAAAGGCAAGTCATAATTTGTTCTACGTAATAAAGGAGAAGTAGTATAATTACTAGTTATTTTAATGAAAGCTGAGACCGGCTTATTCAGCTATTTTAACATCTAGAATGAATGTACTGCATTTTTATGCCTAATTATGTCCCTAGAACTGCAATTCCAATGTCTAGGTTGTACTCTAGTTCCAGAAATTAGGACCCAGGAATTTGCATCAGGTGCTTTCTGTCTCAGGTGATCATAGGACCATAGAGGAGTTCATCTGGCGTTTTCCAGTTTGTATTTAGTTGAAGCATCAGTAAAATTTTTTTCTTACATAAGCATTTGTTCTGATGTTGAGGTGATATCAGGAATATCTGGTACAGGAGAATTAAATCTCTCGATTGCTTTATGTAGCAGACTGACAGAATTAAAATGGTAGCAGGTATCACAGTTGAACTGTCGCTGTTAGATCTTCTGGCTGGTGTATGTGTGAGAGTGAGTCCGCAGGTGCACACACTTTCCAGAACTTCTCTCTACCTGGTTTCTAGGAGCCAAATAATTTGTTTTTGTGCTAAGTTGGTGAAACTTTTTAAAGTTGATGATCCTATAAAGTTGAGGTGGATGAAGACACATGAAGGCAAATTCGCACCTTACAATGGTATAGATTTACAAAACTTGTTTTGTTTCATTGGACTGTGGCTTAAAATTTTCAGAGCTGTATACAAGATGAAACTTCCTGATAGAAACATCTACTGTCTGAGTGCTGCCCAGAAGTGTGGTGCAGTGGAGGCAGCACAGGCCCTATTTGCAAGGGGAAGCAGTCTGTTAACATGTATTTGCTCTATGAAAAGTCCTGATATATATATATATATATATATATATATATATATATATATATAAATAAATATCTTACTAGTTATCTAAAAGTTATTCTGGCCCTGTAGTTTTATGAAGCTTCAGGAAATTGTATTAGAGAATGCTGTGTTTTGAGCAGCCAGGGGTTTAGGTGCAGATTGGTCTTGATAATTTTGCACTTCATTGTAGACATCAGCTCAGTGTAGTGAAAGGATACCTGAACTACTTTCAGTGCTGAGTTGCTGTCTGCTTTGTAGACATGCTTGTGTTTATTCAGACTAATGAAATGGGATTTGTGACCTCTGATAGAATCCCGAGCATGTGCCACTGGCATAGCAGTTTAACGTTGGTTTCTGTCTTGAGAGTTGTATTTGGACTATGAAGCTTTGATTTTTTTTTTTTTTTTTTTCCTTCTCCCTCTGTTCTTTCACTTGCTCATTTTTCTGTAAGTTGGGATTTTGACTGTGTAGGCATTTGAAATAAGGAGTAGATATATGGAGCTGGATGTGAGAAAGAACTGTGTGGTCTACAGAAGAGAAAACCCCATATGGGAATTTGTCTCTGAGAGCAGAAACAGGATGGAAATTTATAACCATTTCTACGCAGGAAAAGCACAGTTTGGTGTATTTGGGCTGGGGACTACAGTCCTTTCAGTAGAGGGCATGCAGCTTTGTAGTGTTTTTCAGTGCTCAAATGGTGTCATAATGCTTCGACTAATCAAACATAATGAATAGAGAAAAGGAATGAAGAAATTTCTGAAATGTCTAGCTCAGAAGGGAAAACCCCAGAATAGCCCAGTTATCAGCCTGGTTAGTTTATATCATGATCTGTTAAAGTGTGTGTGACCTAAGACTTCTGTTTAGATTTCGTTGAAGCCCTCAAGGAATAAAGTATTTCAGGCATAGACCTCCTTCTCAGGTTGTGTAAACTCTTGTATTAGCTTCCTGAGAACAATTAGCACGTTATGACTAGTTCTTAGGTTTGCAGAACCTTGGACTGACTGGATGGAGAGGACCTACAGAGCAAGCAGTCCTTTGTTTTTTTAGCACTAAAACTGTGTAGTTGGCCTTGAACAATCTCCTGTGTCCAGAAGTTGTCCTTGTGTGTTAACTTCAGTTTAGTGTGGTACTGCTGAAGATGCATTCTGTCTTGTAGACACAAGATGTGGTTCAGGATGAAAGATGTCTTTTTCTTTGCAAAGAGAAGAGTGATTTGGGGTGGGTGGGTGGGCTGATTCCTTCTTGGAAATTATTACACTTGACCTAAGGATTATCTTGTTTGCTTAATAATGTGAGAACATACAAAACCTCAGAGTCTTGCAAAGCTTCATTGAAATGAGTCATGACCTTGAAAATGGTGTTCATGTGCTTGTTCCCAAAGCTGTGGACTCTTGCAGACGCAGGCAGCTTTCCTTCTGTTTCATCAGACTGTGGAGGTTACAAGAGGAAGCCAGCAGACAGTGTAACTGGTTGTGCACATTCTTTGATAACTGTGCATTACAAGAGCATGATTCATGCATGCGTCTGTCTAAGCATTAGAGGGAAGCTCTCTGACAGAACTTTTTTGAAAATACTTTTTAGTGTATACAGCTAAGATGGCACTGAAGCCTCAAGCTTCAGCATCCCATGTATGTGGACGCTTTTGTGGCGCTGTGCTTCAAACTCCCGTATGTGCACTTTACTGACTTTCAGTAGAGCCTTAATGAAATGTGTAAGTTCCAGAAAATCAGAAGACTATCACAAGAATATCATGTGTAGGAGAATGAGAAGTGTGAGGAAAAGGTTGCTTTGTGGGGGGAGGGAAACCACCATACTTGTGGCTTGTAACAAAGCAAGAAGTTGGAGAACTGTTCCTTTGATGAAGCGGTGGTATTTTCATGAGTGAGGGTATTCATGATGTGGAATTTTAACTGCCTGTGAGAATATTCTTCAATTACTAGATAAGAAAAACTGCAGAAAGAGTCTCATTAAGTGTCCAGAATTGTTTGATGCTTTAAATATGTACTGTGATGTGAAATATATGGCCAGATGTATGTAACAAAACTGACCAATAGCTATGATGTCAAACTTGCATCTTAAATGAAAATAATAAGTCCTCCTTGTGTTAGAAAACTAAGGAGCTTGTGTGTTAAATATCTCACATCTGTAGATGATTAATAGGTTAAAAGTGAGTCTTGGGGTTAGTGCCTTCTTCTCAGTCAGACTAGATTAGTTAAGCATATTCACTGGCCAAAGAACTCATTAACAGCTTTTAATCACTTGGTCTCTGAGGTTGTTTCCCACCAGTGGGGGAAAAGGATGAGACCTTTGCTACTTCATAGTGTTGAGAGCTGATGCAGGCTTTGCTGCATCACCAGCCCCCTAGGTTTCTCCCTAGTCCAGAGCATTCTTGTCAAGAGAGTTGTTGGTAAATCTCACCTTTTAATAAATCTGGAAATTAATGTGTCTCGCAAATGGAAGTACAAAGTGTAACTGACATGTAATCAGGCTCTGTGGTATATGTGTGCTTAAATTTTTTTCTGATGTTGAGTGGTTCAGTAATTGCTTTGCATAGTCTTACTTCAAAATTTGAGTCCATAATGATAATAATGGATAAGTAGCTGGTAGCTAATCTGTCAGAGGTTCACAGCTTTAATATATTTTCAGCTGAACTAATACATAGATGGCAGGAAACATGAACTAGCACAGGAAAAGTAGCAGAAGCTCTAAACTGTCAAGCAGTGTTCTAATCTCTCTTGCTTCTCTTGTAATTGGTTGTATCAGTTATACCTTGGGACAAGATCTGCTGTGATTTTAAAGAAGCCTATGTAATCACTGTTTTGAGTCAGTTAACTTTTATTATATTGTCATAGATCTAGAAGAATCCCTAGCTGATCTTGAAGCCAAGGAACAGTTTGCGTAACTGAAGGAATGTTGAGAGAAACTTAAAGATGTTAGAAATATTAAATGGTAGGTGATTATTGTGCTGCTAAGAAATTCTTGACTTTTACAGATGATTTTCGATCCCACTATGAGCAAGAAGAAGAAGAAAAAGAAGAAGCCCTTTATGTTGGATGAGGAAGGAGGGGATACACAAGCGGAGGAGACTCAGCAGTCAGAAACAAAAGAAGTTGAACCAGAGCCAACAGAAGACAAAGATGTTGAAGCAGACGAAGAAGACAGCAGGAAGAAAGGTAAAGTAAATCCACATAGATGAATTAGTAAGGGTAGCCATTCTGTATTTTGAGACTGCAAGCCCCACTTCAAGAATTTGGCATGACAATGTGTAATGTTGGGGCCCAGGTTTGTTTAGAGGCTTGTGAGTGATACTCTGTTGCCAATTTGGAGGGTCTATTTCCCTCCTGCTTGAAATCGTGTTCACAGACATCCAGCAATGAGAAACATAAATTCCACTTTCCTGACTTGAAGTCTTTAGTGTGAGGCAATGAAAAGAGAATCCCTAAAATAGATAGCATGAAGTTCTGTGTCTTCCACATGCAGTTGTTTCAATAATTACACAATTATGGCTGGTTTTCATTTGAACGATTAAGCAATAATGTGATGACAGAAATACGGTTTAAAGGGTTTCTAGTTTTTGGGACAACTGTGAATGTGATATCTAGAGTGTTCTTCAGAATCTTTCAGGAAATAAGCTTCTGATTATGTATATAATCTTGCTTTTTAAATTGAGGCCAATGTCATTTCAAGATGACCCAGTTTGGAGAATGCTGTTAACTTAAATCCAGTTTGTTGATAATTGGTTCCTGCAGTAGACCGAAGGAACTATACCTTCCTCCTACAGTTCTCTTTCATTTTTTTTCAAGCATATGTACTATGATGACAGAAGTGGCTAGTTTCACTTGTATATCAGAAAGAGAGATTAAGCACTTAAAAAACAAGTAAATGCAGTTAGAAGTCTAAAATAATACTGAGGTATTTGGAGATGGAGGGGAATCATCTCTTTAAAACCCTAAAGGATATCTCTAGGGGCTATAGATCATTGCTTATGTCTTGCTGTAATGTTTTGAAGATTTGGATGTAAATTAAAAACCTTAATGTCTAAACTGCTTCTACAGTTACTACACTTCTCGCAATCCTGTGTTTTTTAGATGCAACAGATGACCTGGATGATTTAAACTTCTTAAATCAAAAGAAAAAGAAAAAAAAACAAAAAAGATATTTGACATAGATGAAGCAGAAGAAGGTGTAAAGGTTTGTTTGCATAACCAGGCCATCTTGTGTATGGCTGAAAACTTTCTTGCTTTCTTTTTCTGGGCATTGGCAGTGTGGGAGTTGTTTCGGATCTGTCATTGTGTCTTAGTGCAGTTAATAATGAAACTTGTGGTTCACTGCGTTTTTCATATGTAGCAGGTTCTGCTGAACATGTTGCTTCTGCAGGGCGCTTTGCCCAAAACTGGAAAAAAAAATCTAATGATCTGCACAATGACAAGTAATTATGCAATCTGTAGTAGGGATTGACTAGCATCAAGGTTAATTGTCTTTTGGGGTGAGAGAAGTAAATGAATGTTGGAAACCACGCATAGAATAGTCTTCTAAAGGCCAGCCCTTCAGATAAAGAGTATATATCTGTTAAGAAATCTGTTTCTACTCTGGTGTTTTCTTTAGAAATGATCAGCTACTGTTCTGTGTTCCAGAAGGTGTACGAGATATTTTTACACTTCTCAAGTTTTATTCCAAGTCGTGGTTTTGTATCATGTGTCAGTGTAGCTGACAGGCCCAGGGAGCAAGAGGACAGAGAAATGTTACATGTAAACCTCTTCTTTAGATCCTGCCTTTTGGGAAAGAAAATGTCCCCCTGATCTGCCCCAGAGAGGCAAAATGCAGGTTCTACATGTGCAGAATTGTGATAAAAATTGGACTGGCTGCAGGTAGCACAGCTTTGTCTTACCTTATTGCCTGGCACGTAGGGTGTTTTCTTCCCTTATGCCCTAAAATGGCTGATGTCTTTGGGCAGGTAAAGTGTGACCTTGTTCTTGACCAGCCAGAAGGTAGACCAGATTTTTGCCTGCATTAATTACCTAGTAGGAAATCAGCTATTCCAAAGAAAATAGTATAAACTAAGTTTTAATACAAGACTTCACTGTTAGATGCCTGTACATCATTGTGTCTGAGCTAGTCATATAAAAATCTATCCCTGTTTCATGGTGTAGCGCAGCACTGTCTTCAACACTAATTCCTTTTTTATCTGTTATGTTTCAGGATTGTGGTAGATATTACTGGTATTAATCTAGTATAGTGTACTACTATTAGTGTTTCTAATGCTGTACAAGGGAGATTTGTGTTTAATACTGTAAACTATGGTCTTACTATTTCTTTGTAGGACTTGAAAATTGAAGGAGATGTGCCAGAGGCAGTAGAACCTGAGGATGACCTTGATATCATGCTGGGCAATAAAAAGAAAAAAAAGAAGAATGTGAAGTTTCCAGATGAAGATGAGATAATGGAGAAGGATGAAGGTAAAAGGATAACATAGATCAATGAGACATTGAAAGTTAAATGTAGTCCATGTTGTAGGTGAATAAGTTCTGTTCAAGTGCCTTTTTTTGTTTCAAAATTCCTTTTGTTACCTTTACCACTATATTGTTTGTCAGAAAAATGTTCTATAAAAACGCTGTATAAATTTGCCATAAGTACTGGTGTCCCTTGTAGGCAGACAGGGAAGACTTGTGTTCACATCACAGTGGAATCTCTTTTGATGTACTTTCCAGAAATGGTGTAAGCATGAGGTTAAAGAATGTTTCTTCTTTATGAATCCCAAACAAATTTCTTTACAGCTTTTGAGGATGAAGATAGCAAAAAAGATGATGGAATTTCTTTTAGCCTTCAGTCAGGACCTGCGTGGGCAGGCTCAGAAAGGGACTACACGTATGATGAGGTACCGTTCAAAAGACTTTTAAAGTTTTTTCTGTGTTGATATGCATCAGTAGAGCAGGGCCTTATGCTCCAATGTTCCTATTTCTAACTTAAAATTAAAGGACTTATAGTCAGAAGCTTGTAAACAGAAAAATAACGGAAAGTGTGTCTTTTATCACAGTTAACTTTCATACAGGGCAATATTAGTGATAGTTAAAACACCTCTGCAAATAGACGGAGACATTGTAGATTATGAAGTAAACCCTTGGGGAAACAGCTTTTTTCAAGTGTGTGTTCAAAAGCATATGGGGAAATGCTAATGGGCAATGACGGGCTAATATTCATTGTGAACACTTTCAAGTCTTTTAGAAGGTTTACTTCATTTGAGAAATGCAAGATACTCATGATGATATGAATCCATTCTTTTGCAGTTGCTCAACAGAGTATTTAACATCATGCGGGAAAAAAATCCAGATATGGTAGCTGGAGAAAAACGAAAATTTGTCATGAAGCCTCCACAGGTTGTAAGAGTAGGGACCAAGAAAACATCTTTTGTCAACTTCACAGATATCTGCAAATTGTAAGTTTCCTCTTAGGATTCCCCAGGAATAGTGGATGAATGCACTTTTCTGTGCTGTTGGCTGCTGTGTTGAATGCAAGTTTTCTGGCAACAGACTATGGCAAAAGGGTATTTCAGTCATACTGCTTATTTCCTCTACATCTCTCTGTAAGAAGATATTTATGAAGGTGATTTATTGAAATAATTACTTATTTTATACTTAAATTCTTAAAATGGTAGGTTTGCTACATGGGGCTCATGAACTGAAACAAAACGTTTCTGTAAAGTCTGTGGATGGGTCACTAGTGATATTTATTTGCAAGTCTAGGGCTGGGGAAAACGTATTCTGATTTCAGCTGGCTGCACATACTGTTCTTTTGGTAAATGGTATGGAGTTTGATAAGTTGTTTTGTGTTTTTTTTTTTGTTTGTGTTTTTTTTTTTTCTTTTTTTTCCATGGTTTTCTGCAGTGCTTTCTATATCTTAATTCTTGTGAAAGCAGTTCTATTCTTTGTGGGCACTTCTGGGAATGCATATCTGGTTTGTTTCATAACTATGCCAGAAACCAGTCCTGATGAAATTGTACTGAAGATCTGGGTGGTATACTAAAGTGAATTTTCAGTGGTAGCTGGTAACACTTTTTTCAGAGAATGGTGGGGGGATGGGGCAACAAGAATGGAAAATCTCAAATAGAAGACTTATTTTCAATAGTTACTGTAATTGTGAGTTTGGTTGGGGGGGGATGGTGGCATTTTTTTGTGGGCTGTTGAACTTTCTTGGGTCCTCAATCATTGCTTATGCTTTTTGGTGCAGATGCCCTGGCACTGCCCCCTTTATACTTAGTAATGTAAGATTGTGTTGGCCTGCCAGTCCTGTACAAATATCAGATTTCTCTGAAGGGGGGAGGTTAAACATATCCTTATTGTATTTTTAGATTACATCGTCAGCCAAAACATCTTCTGGCATTTTTGTTGGCAGAATTGGGTACAAGGTAAGGCTACTGGGCTACGTATGTGCTTATGCATGTAGGAAGCAATGGCAGCATAGTTGATGTATGATCAAAAATCAAATTCTTGGGTTTAGGTCTGTATATATGTGCTTGAACCTTCAGGTTTTTCCTTTCCAGCACTTAGATGCAGTGCTGAGTGGTTGAAGAGATACCATCTTAGGGAAGAGGAACAGAGGCAAACCATAAGTCCCAGGGAACAGTTTGGATAAGGGTTTGGATTCCCTGTTTGGGACCTCCCTTAAAGTTGCTCTGACAGCAGAGCTGTGTGGTTTGTATCAACTTAAGGCAGATGATGGATAGCTAGGGAGGAGAGAATGCCTGACTGCCTAATGGCAAGTCTTGTGGGCCTGTAGCTGGTTATTCTGTCTAATGCTGCAGTGAAATCCGCCTGTCTTAGCATAAAAACAGTGTTGATTTTTTATGTCTCCTATCAGGTGGTGTGCTTTCTGTTTGTCTATTAATTTCTCTGTTGTAGACTACAATGTTGTTGTATGTAGACATAGATAATCAAGGAATCTGAGTTGCAATATGTATATAACATGCCCATTTGATTGGGCTTTGGAGTCTCTTCAGCTCTAGACAACTTAAACACTTGGAAACTGTGATGACAAAAGATTGAACACAATACATCAGAATGGGTCGGAGAGGATCTTAGTCATATTACACCTTACTAGGCAGTTGTTTTGGTCACTTCTGTGAGATAAGCAGGTGCTAATTCTCAATTCTGTAAAGTTCTTCTGATTGGGTAGCTTAACTATGAGGCTGATCTCTGATGTAGTTTCTTTTATTGGAGTGAGGGTTATACTTCATGTAGGTTTTCAAGTACCTTCAGAATTTTGCATTTTTTTTTTCCTCAAAGTAGTTCTGGCTTAATGAAGAATACAGCATTATCTTGCTTGATGTCCTGACTTGTTTTAATGCTTGATGTCTTCTGCAAATCAAATAATTAATTTTTCTTTTAAATTAGTGGCTCAATAGATGGTAACAACCAACTTGTAATCAAAGGAAGATTCCAGCAAAAACAGATAGAAAACGTTTTGAGAAGATATATCAGTAAGTATAACTCCCTTTTCCACTACAGATTTCTTGGACCCCTTTGACCAGTGTCCCCATGTGTGGTCCACATGTGTGTGCAAGCTGTGGAGATTTTGTGCTAAGAAGCTACAACTTTGCTGCAACTTTATAATGGAGTAATGCAAGTACAGGTGTTTCTACCATGATTATAAATAAGCACGTAGGTCGTACTCTATCCTGGCACTAAAACATACTAGGAAAACAGGAAGAGCATTTGAGAATTGCTTGTTTCTATCTGCCTTTAATTTTTTGACTTTGAGGACTACAGAAATGGTTAATTTTAAAGTCCATTGTACACATTAATTAACAAATACAGTGTGTGTGCTGCTGGCCAAAGGACTTGCAGATTATATGTAACAAAAAACTCTGCTTTAGTGCTGTGTCTGTACAAGAGTTGCGGACATCTGGGAATGCTGTTTCAGCAGAGGAAGTTATGGAACGCTAGTGGGAAGTCTTAACTGATGGTTACTATTTTTAAAACATCAGTGTCAGTGCATCATGTACCATATGAAACCTGGGAACTAGAGGGAATTTTTAGGTTGCCTCAACCTCTGTGGTTTTCATAGTAAGCCACTTCTAAGTTGGTAGATGCATTTGAACAGCCTTTCAAGACAATTGTTAAACTAAAGGTTGAAGTGATAACTTGTTCCCTGATAATGCATTATCTTTTAACTGCAACTTATTTCCTTTTGTGCAGAGGAGTATGTCACCTGTCATACATGTCGGTCACCAGACACAATCCTACAGAAGGACACCAGATTATATTTCTTGCAGTGTGAGACCTGCCACTCTCGCTGCTCTGTCGCCAGCATCAAAACTGGTTTCCAGGCTGTCACAGGCAAGAGAGCACAGCTCCGTGCCAAAGCTAACTAGTTTGCTAATCAACACTGGATTTTGCAAAGTGTTCTGGGGAGATATGACTGGACAGGTTTACGATCGGAATGGATTTACCATTGTATTAAAACAAGATTGTAAAAGCAACAGGAAATTTGGCTTTTGATTGGTCTGTGAAATCCTTGCAAGATGCAGATCCTCAAGCTGTTCACATACATTTGCTCGTTGAATATATTTTACCAACTGTAAGGAACGTGATGGGAAAGGAAGTGCTTTTTAATCCATTCAGACTTCTGTAAAACACAAGATAAATTAAACATACTATAACAGTGAGTGTCTTCGATTTGGATTTTTCCTTCAGTTTCCTCTTTTTAAACTGCTCATGGGAATGGTTGGCATGTTGTTCTGCAGATCATGTCACTGAACTATGTCCAAGACCCAGAATAAAGTTTAAGACAAAGGTTATTTTTCTTTTACATAACAAGCTTATTTTTAGTTAGGCTGTCGTTAAACAGAGAAACCAGTCACAAAAGGTCACAGGGACAATATACCAACATGAGAACTGCTCATGCTTTTATAGCCACACTAATATGAGAATGCATTTTGCACAGAAAGTGACGTCAGGACATGTTGATACTGCTTAATTAGGCAGAATGTAGCTTTGAGATAGTTCAGACACCATATTGATGCTGAGTTTTAACATAGGATCGATGAACTGTACTGTAAGCTTTCATAGTGTCATAATACTAAATTTCATGATTTCTAGTAGAGAAATGTTTATATTTCTAAAGTCCTGCACTCTTCACCACTTTAAAAAGAATCTAACTAAATGCAGCAAAAGGGAGAACTAAAGAAGAATAAAAAAAGGTATAGGTAACATCATTATATGATGGCTGCAACACACTGTCTTATATAAATCTTGAATTTACAGAAGATACTGCCAAGTAGTTTGAGTTCCAAATTAACACGTTATGCTTCTTGATCATAACATGCACTTCTCTTTGCTAGCAGTCAGTATTGGTAATCTCTAGGGGACATGCATAGTGCTGGCCTAACTACTTTTTCTAGTGCTGTAGGAATTTTGTTACAGCTGCCAAGTACAAAGATGCAAATGGGGAGTGAAATCCCTCTTGAGTACTGTAAGGGGGTGACAGTTTTCATTGAATCACCAAAATAGCTCGGGGTCAGGATAAGGTGTGCTCCAGACCTGGGGCACCCATCCATGCAGGTAAGAAGAATAGCCTTCTCCTCAGAGAAAATAGTGGTCATTCTGAATGCAATTCATGAAATACCAGAAACTGAAGGGTTTCTACTGAGTTTTAATCTTTGTATGTATGTTAATACAGAACACAGTCTTGTTGGGAAGTCACTTGCTATTTGAAAACTTGACAGCACTGTAAGGCAAAAATTGAGGTTTTGTGGTTGGTTTCTTAAAAGCATTTTGAATTTCAAGTGAGCTATAACAAATGTTGGATGTATCTTTAAGTGAATAAAGCCAGGATCAGTGCCTCTTGTAACATTATTGTTGTATTCTTGTTTTTTTCTCTAGCAAATAGGCATTCTCCTGTTGGAAGTAAAACTTTTTGGAGAACTGCTAGGCACCTTTTTGTTTCAGTGACTTGCTGCCGAGACACACTGAAATAGCTGAAGAACAATGATACTTTCTGGTTTTAAATGCTTACGTTTTGCTGTGTCAAATACTTATAACTTTGAAAAAAATACAGCGTGCCCTTGGGCTGGTGCTATATTTTAGTGCATTAAATACAAAGCTTGATTTCAGTATAATTGGATCAAAAAGATCAAGTTAATGTTCAAACGCATCATCTCTGAGCTCTCCTGGCTCACAGGAAAGCTTTATAGGTGTATTTTATAGATGTATTTTGAGTCTGTGCATAAAATCCTGAAAGCATCAGTTTTGATGACTAATACTGGAGTGCAACATCTTGAGCTGTAGACTCTAGTTGACTTCTGAAATAACCTCACTGGTGCATGAAGTGTCTTCTGTTTCTAGGAGCAGATATTAGTTTATTTATTTATTTTAAAAAAACAAACACCTTCCCGTGTACATGCAAAAAAGAGTATGGTCTACTGCAAGTGTTTTATGGACATAAATGCCTCCTGCTGCTTGTAAGGCTGATGTAACTTTCAACTGCAATCATGTGTTTTGCAGAGGCAAAAAACCAGAGTTTTATACTTCAGCTGAACATAAGCATGAAGTTCTTAACAGATGAAGGTGGTAGCTTTGTTTGCCTTGGGTCTGTACAGGTGTGTATTTGGAGGCAGACAAAACTGTGTTTCTCCATGCTTTTTTCTCTGAGCTAAAACTGTCTGTATGGTGCTGATGGAAATATGGGAGCCAAATGTTTAGCTACTGAAAGACTGCGGAGCAGAATGGGATCCCTGTTTGAATGGGTTGAGGAGGAGCCTGGGAGCTAACAAAGAGCAGAGTGATGCAGGTGGGTTACTCCTCCAGGGCTCCTGCCCTGCCCAGGGTTCTCTTGCACCTCATCAAAGTAATCTAAACTGTTGCAGGTCTGTTCCTTTCTAGCGGTAAAGATGCAACACCCCTTTCAGCCCAGAACATGCAAAAGAAAATCTGAGACTTGTCGTTGGAGCTCCTAGGAGAACTGTACAGAAGTTTTGTTGCTGTCAGTCAGCTTGAAATTTGCAGATAGCCCTCTAAGATGAATACTCTCTTTATAACCCACTTTTGCCAGGTAAATGCTTTTACCTCCATTGTGTTGTCAGAGGGTTGGAACTTAAAAGGGTTAGATGACCTTGCTCAGGTCACCAAAGTAACCAGTAAAATGAAAACTAGTTCCCCCTTTCAGTATAGATGTAGTGGGATCAGCTGCATTTGAGGTGGTGTGGTTCTGTTCTGCAGAAATAACTGTTCACTATTACGAAAATAAGTGAGATTAAACTCTTTTTTCATAAAAGCTTCTGGCCAGAGCAAGGGTTTAATCAAAGCAGTAGTGTTTTTATAACCAGAAAGGGTGTAAAGAAGGAGGAGCATTTATGAAAGGTTTCCACTGAGAGTGGGGGATTTCTGGTTATGACTGTGCACGGGTCGTCATGCACTGTGTCCTCCAGACACGTACACCACACCTTAAAGTCCCTGGTTGGTGTCAGGTGTGGGCCCGCTTGACAGGAAGACTTGGTCATCAGAGATGGTAAGCAAGAAGAAGAAAAAGCAGACTTCCAAAGCTGCTGCTGCTGAAAACAGGACAAGGTTTGTCACGAATTGCATGGGATGTTCTGCAGTTGGGCGAAAGTGTGTGTGATGGTATCTAGTGGAGGAGGTACAGAAATAGAAACAGCAGGAAGGCTCTGAAAGTCAAGAGAATATGAAGTTGAGTGTGATGCTGACAGCTAAAATTCATTAGAACTTATCTGTTAATCTTTTAAATAACATTTTAGCTATGTGTTCTGCCTCTCTGCTCAGTTTTTTCCTAGAGGTTTATTCCAGATTATCAGACTAATAGAAGAGTATCCAAGCAAGTGAGAGGCCAAGCTTTGAGAAATAATTGAATGCAGATGTTTAACAGAAAACAGCAGCTGCACAAGAATTGCCAGTTCAGCTTCAGCCTGTATGGACAACAAACTGCAAAGCCACACCAGCTTCCAAAATAATTGCTTGCTTTTCTATTTTTAAATGTGTTTTTGCCATAGCAAGCGTTAGTCCCATGTTGCCTGAGTAGCAGAATATAATTTTTTGCAGCTTTCGGTTTCATGAGTGGTTGCCCTTGCAATATGTAGGTTTGCACTCTGGCTGCCCCAGTGCAAGCGCTTCCCTGAGCAGCCGGGGCAGGATGGTAAATCTGGGCTCACTTACCCTGCTTCTGAGCTGTCTTGCTAACTGTTGTATTTTTTTAGCCACTAAGTTCCCTCTTCCCTAGAGTCATGAAAGACTGAAATGATGGGAAAAGGGGCAGTTTGGTGTCCTTGGAGGAAAAGGGCCATAAACCCCCAGGTTAGAGATAGTGGGCAGGTATCAGGACAAGCCTGGCCTGATGAAAGCCTCTCTTGGGCTTTTCCAGCAGTGCAAAGCAGGCCTACAGCTAAAGTCTGCAGAAGTTTGGATTCCCATGATGTTCTTGGGGATCAGCCGGGTTATGTTGTACCTGTATGGCTCTACCTCATCTTCTGCTTTCTGCACGTATAGGGGCATTTTGGCAGTTAACCGTAGTCATGGCTTGCTCGAGTCCCAGGTGTCTGTCAGCCTTGGGAAAACTCAAATGGATCTAATTTGGGCTAATAGCTAAAAGGGTTTTGGCTAAACAGTAAAACCCTATGGCAGAGAAGGGAGTGCAGCCCTATGTGTCCTTTCCCTCAGCACACCTTTGGATGCAGAGCCGATGGAGAAGAAAGGCTGCTTTGATCATGGTAAGTTGCTTAAATGATCTCATGACAGGAGGAGGAAAAAGACTTTTGAAGGAAGATAATACTTGGAAATTGTGGAATCCTGAAGAGAAACAGGTTCAGAGGCTCTTGCTGATCTTTAACACATGCTATCTCACCTGTGAAAGCCTTTGGTTTGAAGGGACCTCACCCACCTCCAGTCCCTTGGCTAAGAAACTCGTTTTTTTCAGCTCTTTCCGTAGTCAATGATGAAGATGGGGAAGTACCTCCAGAGGCAATTCAGCCTGTCTCAGTTTTTAGAAAGAGCAGAGACTGCGCTTCTACTGTAGGTGTTTCACCACAGATGAATATAGATAATATATGCATAAATATTCACATAGGTATCATATGTATATACACTATACATTTCTATGTATTCTGTATATAAGAATATGGCTGCACTTGTGCTGTTGGTCTCTGTCACAAGCCCAAGGGAGCAACCATACTTCTTTATATAGAAGTAGAAATTTAAGCTGACCCTGGAAATGTGTTGCTGCCTGATAAACATGTGGAATTGGCTTTTTCTTGCAGGAAGAAAAATACCTTCTCACTTCCCTTCTGCTTGTGACTATAACACCAGGTTCATTCCTTGCTGTGTAAGCTTGCTGTTCATCCTTTTTCCTTCTTGCATATTGCAAACAACTGCACATTTCTGAAATAAAAGTCATAACTTTACATCTGTGTTATTACTAATCTTTCTGACGAATACACAGCAGAAATGTGTGGTACCTCCCTCTTCAGCCCGTTGCATCTTCCATAGTGGGTCTCTGGGCTTACAGAGACTTTGGATTTTCTAACGCAGAAATTCCACGTTTTTTTATTAAAATAAATTAGTTTTAAAAACTTTGTTTCTTCCCTCAGCCGTGCTTTGGGTAATTATCCCATAGGTTTCTTCCATGTGGAAACATTGCACTTGATGTGGAGCAGGGCTG